AGAGATATCTTTTATAGGCTTATAGTGTTTGCGTATTTCATATAAAATATTATTTATTGCATAATTTAAAATTCAGCAATGAACTCTTTAAGGTTAAAAGAACATTGAAGCAGTCTTATTAATTCAGAAATTTGGTTACGGCAAAGTCTTTGGACATGAGTTACAAAAAACCGTAATGACTTAATTACTTTTCCTAATTATCAATTAAGTCTTGTCGCAGCCACCTTGAGCTTACCTAAAGCTCGTACCTAAACATCTGCTGTTTCTGCATGCCGGAAATTCATTATTTCTAGCATACAAATGTATCAACTTTGAGCTACTTTTCAAAGAAACAACTTTTAATTAAAGAACTATTTATCTTTGTTCTGTAATTAGTTTCAACTGCAGACAGAGCACTTTATTCAATAAAATAGCTCTAAATAAAATCATAAGTTTAATAAATTTTAAATAAACGTATCTTATTTATTCTGTTTTATTTATAATAATAATGAATAAATCTTATTATTATAATATAAATAAATAAGTCTTATTTATTCTGTTTTACAAATTTTAAATAAACGCAATTATTTTCTAATATGCAGTTTTCCAACACCAAAAATGATTTCACATAGCAATTTTTAGTAACAACAAAAATTTGACTGACCTCTAGCAGACCCACCTACTTTGATTCTAATTTTAAGCACTCTATCAGTGCAACTTAAACTAAATCAACCCTTTATTCTTTCTCAGAAGTTTCCATGTTAAGTTCCCATACCTCATTGGTGTCAGCGGCAACAAAAAAAGGGAGAGGGCGAAAAGATCTCTTATACAGTTACATATTACTTACTATTAAGGCTAGATAATCAGTCTTCACTCGTGCAACTTTTTAAGATGTTTTATTTCATACTTCATTTATATACTACTGGAGCTAATGATAAAAAAACAACAGGCAGGTAGAAGGCCAAAAGGGTTTATGGCTGTAAAAATGAGAATACCATGCAAAATGTAGCATTTAATTTAAGAAAAATTCTTTAAATTGTAAATGTGACGTATACTTCAAGTAACTCCGCATTTTCCTCAATGATGCACTTAGCATACAAAAAAATTTAGAATGATATTGTAAGGTATATCCTAATTTTATAACAGTTATTTTCCTGCTTCTCCCATCTTGAGCTTAGAATTCCTTACCAGAATGAGTTTTTAGAATCGCGTTAAATGAAAATGAGTAGTAGAGAGTATTTAAAATTAAAATTAACTGATTTCAACAGAGAGAATTAAGGATTCCTGAATAGCGCCCTTTTGCCTTTCGGCTACGTCTCTCTAAGCTGTTATTGCGCTCGGCCGTATTATATGCCTTTGATAGCTTTGTTAGTTAATTTAATATTACCGGCCAACTAGTTTAGAATCCGTATTAGCTTCCGCTAAATATCTTCAGTTAAGTTCTCATTTCTTACATATTTGAGTTTAAGCCCAAGTGGAGGCTTTGTTGTACGTCCTAAGAAAGGGACCACTTGTCAACTTTATTTTGAACAATAAAGGGTAAGTAACCCTTCTTGAGTTTACGATATATAAAAATTTAATAAAAATAAATTATTCGCTTAGTAGTTCACTAGGTTCCTCAACAATTAGTTAATAGATAAAAGGGAGGATCCCTAGATTATATTGAAGACAGATGTAAAGATAGCTGATTCGGCTGCATGAGTTAAATTTTATGACGAAATGGAGATTCAGTTTTCTTGCATTTTATTCTCCTTTGGCTGAAATATATAGCTAGCGGCAGCTGACACCATACATAAGAGCTTTAAAAAAAAATGATGTAGGTATATTCTTAAACGACTCTGATACTGAATAAAAAATTTAATGAATCACATTATGCCCAAAATGTCTTACTTAAGTGTCATAAATCTGTTGTCTTAAAACTTGCCTCTAAATATGGAAAATATACTCTCAGTAAAAGAAGACTCTTGTTTTCCAGTTGAATATTAAAATCATCCAATTAGAAAAACAGAAGAATCATCACATCAATAGAAATAAAATAAGTTATGTCTAGACAAAAGATTTGAGAGCGTCGTTGCCTGCAAAATTTAATTATAACGTAATATTTCTGCGATGACGAAAAGCAATAAAACAATTGCATCATCAAAATCATAAAAACAACCTTGTATTTAGCGTAAGTATATTGAATCGTAAGTATATTTGAGTGTTTCAATATACTTACGCTAAATACAAGGTTGTTTTTATGATTTTGATTGTCACATTAGCGTGTTTCTCTTCTAGTCTAATTGCATCATCCTTTTGGAATGAAAAATCGAATGCAAGGACCACTAGTATTCATCGCTGACTTTCGGATGCTGAGAAATATTGTTAGTTGGTAATATCTATGGAGATTTCAAACGTTAAACATCGATCGATGACGGAGTTTTTGACAAAAGAAGACACGCCACCAGAGCCGACGCTAGGGATTCCCCCCCCCGGTGAAATTTCTGTGGGTCCTAAGCTCAGCTGTCCGGTGCCTCCCTGAATCCTGAAAGTTTTGAAGCCTCTAAATTCTGCTGCTGCCCAGTGCTTTTCTTAAACTATAAACATTTTGTTGTTCGGCTGTTATCTAAATTTTAAAGATTTTGCCGCCCAGTGCATCCGCACCGGTTGCGCTTGCTTTGCGCCAGCCCTGCATACAACCAGCAAATATTTAGCAATGTGTGGCTGCAGTCTATAGAGATACTGCATCTTCCTATATCACAGTCAAAAGAGCGGTCGCATGTTAAGAGGGTAATACATCACGTTAAGTAACCTTTGACAAAGCCACAGTGTAGACATGACAACAAACGAAAGTCTGCGAAGAGCTCGAAAGTTGAAGTTAGGTTGTAGGGTTTTCCTTAATTTGCATAAAAAATTTATTTTAAGTTTTGCTGTTCTCAACTTCTCAAACTCACATTCTCTCGCCAGGAAGTTAAGTGAAGTGCTATTTAAACGTGTGATTATCTCAGTTTATTCAGAGCGTGTTTCGCTAGCCTAGCGCACGTTTCGTTGTTATTTCGCGGTCACTCGAGGAAGTCTTTTGGCCTTATCACTTTAGTATCCCGCGGGTTAGATTTCTGTGAGTCCATCTGTTAGGAGTAATTTTGAAGTGCGTTCTTGCACTCATTTATTTTTTCAGATTTGATTTGTATTCTCGTCTACGTTCAAGCTATCGCCGCAAGTGAACGGTGTTTTTGTAACGCCCGAAGCCCATGCTGTCTGTTATTTTAGTTTGAGTTAATAAAGGGTTATTTTTCACCCTTCTTCTGTGCTGGTATTTATTTTCACGCCTGTGTGAGAATTCGCCAGGTTCATTGTAGGATCTAAGTCAGTATATGTGGAAAAGTAGAGATAGATCTCACAAGGTTACCTGAATGCGCCAAAACACTCGAGGGATATCTGCCTAAGCGGAGGGATGCTTTCGTGAAGGATTTTCTGCAAATAGGCTCATATTCACGCCACACTTGGGAAAAGCCACGAAAAACACACATGAGCCACTCTCTGCTTGAGTTGAAGTCGATTCAAACTATCAACATTCAGCGGTCTTAGCCACTCGGATCACTGATGAATTCCATTGTGAAAAAGGGATATGTGACAATTTCTCAAATTGCGAAAAAAAATCGACATCGCTAGTAAAAGAAAGACTGCATGAGAAGCTAGGATTTTTAAGGCACTGGCCAGATGGATATCACGAGTACGAATGCCAGAAATGAAATATATTCGGGTTGTTATTCTCTATTATTTCAGATAAAAGCCGTTGAATATAATTTTTGCTTGTCTAAGAACAGTAGATGAGACGTGAATTCACATGGAAACTAAACAAGGAAGTATGTTATAAAAACACACTGAATCTCTCCGTCTTCACTATTTCAGAACACAGAAGAGTTCTTGGAAGATTTTGGCTGCCATTTTTTATACGAAAAGCAGCGGTTTCTCGTTTATTACTTCCAACATAAGAGCACGATAACAGTTATCTATTATGTCAACTTTCTAACTAAACTCTGGCAAGTCATAAAGGGAACACATCATAGCAAATTCAGCAAGAAAATGTTTTCTTTTCATAACAACGCCATGTATTCAAAGCTCAGGTTTCTTGGATCTCTATTCAGCAATGTGGATTTCAACTTCCCCACTCACTCACCATATTCATCAGACCAGGCTTCAATTGATTGTTTTTTAGTGTTTTTTCTTTAAAACCAGTGGCAGGATTTGCATGCTCCATGTTACATCGACGATTATAACGTGAAAGTTGACATTCAGGTATCGCTTAGGGGTTGTAACAAAACATTCTTTTTTGATGGAATTCGACAGCCAAGTGCTTTGAAGTCAGGAAAAATTACATACAAAACTATAAAATAGATTTACACATTTAATCGTAAGAAATGTATTAAAACTTACCGAACTCCTCTTGTACACGATGTAATAAGTTTAAAAGATTTCTTCGTCACTAATCATTAACTTTTCTGCGATATTTAAGCTGTCAGCTTCATAACAGCCATTGTTATTTTAGGGACACATATTCCCAAAATTCGTACATATTAAGCAAATAATTATAATCCTAAATATAAGAAGGTAATAAAAATGTAGTAATACTGTTAAGTTTCGCAAGACTTGCTGTTTTCGAAAAAACATTACATGTGAAATATTGTCTGAGTTTCTGATATTCGCACCTATAAGCATTATTAAGCATTTAACATTTCTTCAAGAGTTTAATAATTTCTTTACTTTGATACCATCTAGTCTTGCGGCACTAGCTAGAATCTAACATGAATGATTTATTGCAAACACAAGTCAAAAAGTTTCCAAAAAGTATTAGCTAAGTATCTACTTACACAATACTATTGACGCCTTGAAGATAAAATTTTAATTTATCACTCTGCAATATGTGAACCTACTACATGCCATAGTATTTAGTAATGTTTCATACTGAATGTATTTTCTTTTCATTTTTCCAATAACTTAGCAAAAGTATGCATTTGATGTAATCAGGGATATATTTACAGCAATGCCGTTTCAACGCAGATCAGCCAGCCCAAGGCCCTGCTCGATGGATACTGATGAGCGAATTGCAATCAAGGAAATTTTCCGACGAGAACGGAGAATTTCTAATGGATCTCACTATGAGTAATGCCCTCACTGTGTATGAAGTGGATTTGAGGATGAGCCATTTACCATTTGGACCCCATCACAAACTCAGCAATGCCGAAACCGCTTATTTTGCATTTGGAGGGTTCGAGTGGAACATTGGCATCCACCCTCAAGGTAATTTATTCAGTGCAACAATCTATGCATAGAACCTAATGTATAATTTTCTTTTAAATTTTAATTCCTTTTTGTTTTATTGCAGTTCTGTATTCCACCTTTTTTTTTCTTAACGCTCGTAAATATTAGTTTATTTATGCAGTACAAAACATTACCAGAAAAATAAGTGGGAAAACTTTTAAAGAAAAAAAAGGAAATCGCTCTTCAATCAGCGTGCATTTGTATACAGGATACTTTCAAGTGTTGCATTGGGATTTGGAGTCCTATAATTTTAAAGTTATGGATTATGTATGTGTTTGATGTTCGTGTAGCGGAAGAATGTTTTTAATTCTGCTTGTAAACTTTTTAAGACACATTGTATAGCAGACATGACTTCCATTTTCAAAATAATGAGTTTACAGCAGAAAGCATTGTGTATTTTCGAATATGCGAAGAGTTTGTCCGTTGCTATTTTGCAATGTGCATTTTGTAAGCAGAATGATTAAAGATCCATGAAGATCCAAGATCGACAGTTCTAGATTGCTGTTTTCCAGTGTAAGACCCCGTATGATCGTTTAAATATTTGCTAGTCAGGAGAACAGTGTTGAAAGTTATAAAAAGTTACATGAGTAGCCGATAAATATCAATAAATCTAACTCAGCCACAATCTTGGTATTCTACATCCAAACATTTGGAAGATTTTGCAACTACGACAGCAGTTGAAATCAATGAGAAATCTACTGTCAGCAACATCAAAATAGGAAAGCAACATCACAGGAACTCCAGGGGAGTAACATAAGAGAAACCAACGCATCTGGGCAGAACTGGAGTGCGTCTTGGGCACGTGTCGTGTAAACAAAACTCATAGAATATTGATACACTTTTTATGCTTGTAGAATAACTCTGGCAAACTTTCATGTTTATAAAGTGTTACATTTCTGTTGTATAAGTTTTTTCGGAGTTATTTTGTAATCCGAAATTTAACTTCATTCTCCCATAACGAATATTTTCTTTTCTTTTGAGTTACAGTTTAAAATTTCTTTTTTATAACAAATCTAATTTAGGAACATTTAAATATTAAGTAAGACTTAGAATCGAGAACTAGTATTTTCTGTCTTTACTGCTGAGTGACAAGGCAGTACCACACTCGTACCTATTTAAACCATTTCAAAGCACACTTCGAAATCAAGTTTTTGAAGACATAACGGTCGTAGTTAAGAGCTTCGTTATGTTTCTTTAAGAGACGTTTCTAAGCCAGTCTATCAAGGATGCCATTCACGGGAGAAACTCTGTTCTAACTGTGTTAGTATACGTTAAGGCTGCTTTTGGTAGTGTTTGGCGACTCAGATGTAACCAAAATTATAGACCCTGGGCGTTTATAACAATATGTTTTCAATAGATTAGGAATTTTCTTTCCCAGCATTTCTATACCACTCGTTTTGGTGATTACATATCCAGCTTTAAACAAAGCAAAACTGGCTTACCCCAGGGTACCGTGATTAGCCTTACTTTATTAAAGGTATTTATTAATGATCTCCCTGATATCTTGTCCTCCGACGGGTTGTTTGATATGGCTCTTTTTGAGGGTGATCTTGCTAGTTTGTGCTAAACATCGAGAAAAGACCAATTCACGCTAAATAACATCTTAAATTTGGGTCTTGAAACACTGGGTTGCTGATCTGGAAAATAACACGACCACCAAATTAAAAAAGACTACTTGCCAGGTCTTTACTTTAAATAGGCAAACCTTCATCCCTCACCTTGTTTATAGGTGCACTGTTTTGCAGCATAATGATGTTTCAATTTATTTGGGTTGCATCTTTGATAGCAAATTGAAGTGCATCAAACACGCTGAGCATGTCAAGTTAAGAACACGTAAAACACTTCCGCATTCTGAAAAGGTCGGCAGGAGTTAAATAGAAGTGTTATAGGACTACCCTGAATACAACATATATGTTATATATTCAGCTGGTTCTGAATTATTCAAATGACGTGTTGATCTCTCCCTCAGATAAAATCTTGATGCTTTTCAATCTTCATAAATAACAAAAGCAAGGCCAACCTTATCACTCAATCCAACTTCCGTCTGTAAAACAAATTAATTTGTACTCTGCAAGAATAGCAGCGTAATAGCCAACAACTGGTATGGTATTCTTGTTAAAAGGATGCATGCAAAGAAGAAACTGGAAGAATGCTGTCAAGTGAATTTGATGAGGATTGCCTGCAAATGCTTTCCTTCACGACACAATTTCTCAATATATATATATCCATAGGTAGAATACCAGATACATTAAAAAGCGCCTCGTAACTAATAGTCCTGGAGCCACAAACGAAAGTAAGGCTTAAAAGAAATCTTTGAATTTTCCTTAGAAACTTGCAGTTTACTTTTTCAGTAAATAACTGCCCCAAACCCTTGAAGCATAGGAAATAACCGGCACTATTCCTTGGCTATAGATCAATTTAAAATCATCTGTCTTGACCCCATAGTATGTTTAGAAATTTTAAATAATCCTCAGAATACCTTTTCTCATTTTCCTGTGAGATTTGAAATACGATATTTCCATTGAAAATCCAAGATAACTCCTAATTATTTTATTTGGGTAACTTCTTGTATAGGAACGTCCCCAAATAATAAGCTTATTCTGCAGTTAGTATTCATTTTTTACCATCATAACTTTGCTTTTAAGCGGATTGAATTTCAATTTAAAAAGTTTAGACCTTTGAAAAGCAGTATCAAGTAAAGCTTGAGATAAAAACAAGCATTAACGAAACTTTTACATTGAACAATTAAGAGCAGATCACCCGCAAAAGCAATTTTAAAACAGTTTTGAAAATCTGATAGTTTACACAAAACATCATTAGTTGTAACATTCCCCAAGAAGTGTCCAGACACTGATCCTTTGGGACTGTCCTTTTCCAAACTGTATTCTTTCGTAATATCACACATAGAAAGTTCTACAGTGTGAGTATGCAAAACGTCATTGATCAGGTAGAAGATGTTCCTACGTATATCAGCACGCTTCAGTAAATTTACGATTCTTGGTCACCAAACATTGTCAAATGCTCCTTTTATATGCAGAAACATTAAATCCGTGACGTAGTTTTTCTTTTCCCTTTCTTTTCTATGTCAAATACGCGAAGAAGCCCATCTACAGCTGAACGCTGAGACGTAAAGCCATACTGATGATCATCCAAAATATTTCTGCTTTTTAAGTGCCAATTCAGTCTGCTTGTATTATGTTTTTCGAGACATTTGCTTAAGCATGGCAGAAGGCTGATGCATCTGATATTTTCAATACTATACCGCTTAACTTTAGCATTTTTAGAAATAGTCACAATTCTAGCTTTTTTTACACCACTGGAAAGTGTTTCTGATCTAGACAAGCATTTTTGGTTCTTTGATATCTCCTTCTAGCTGCGTTTAACTGTTTGCGCATACAATCGATCTCGATTGACCCCATGGGACATTATGTAAATGAGATTTCTTCAATGGGGTGGATTGTTCTGCAGCAGAAATAATTAAATCGCGAAGTTTACAACAATGTTACCTAACATCTCTGGAGAAGTACATTTTTGCAAAGAGCTAAGTAATTCTCTCTTATAATTTATATATCAATTTTGAAAATCACTCCAGTTTGCTCTTTTGATGCTTAAAAGAACACTTTTCACGGCATATTTCAAACTATTTCTCACATAAGGCATAGAAATTTCAAAACGAATCGTCTTATGATCAGACACAGATTCAACCTCAGGAATACACCACTTTTGGATATTCTGAAGAAGACTCCGTTCAACAACTGTTACGTCAATGTAACTAGGTCCCTTTGTGCCACAAAAAGTGGGTCCACAATCTTCATTAATAGCAGAAAGATGGCAAGTGCTCAGAAGCTCGCTCAGTTTTAAATCTCTTGAGTCAGTGAAGTGACTAAACCAGATATCTGATTTACTGTTTGAATCCATACCCTAGATCAAATGTTGCATCTTTTTCCTCGAAACACAACGAGTGATTTTTGTAAGATAAGCATCAATGTTCGTACAGAGTTCAAAATAATTGGAAAACAAGGCAAAATCAAAATTCGCAACTGAAATTTCAACAGTACGCGGGTTATGATCAATAATTTCTAAATCAATGAAAGCAGATATATTAGAACTTAAACGAATAGTAATAGTCGCCTTGATAATTTCAGAAGTCGAATTGAAGAAAACTCTGTAAGATTAGTAGTCTCTGTAGAAAATGTCAGCACTCGTTTTCCTTCTGACGCGTGACTTCAAATTTACACTAATGAATGTCGCTTGGATTTTGCTCAGGGTGCCAGTGTTGGTATTTTAGTGACCTTTTTTTCATTTTACCTACGTGTTGGCTCATTTATAATTCACTTTGATGGAGAACTCGAAACTATTTATGTAGTCCCGCAACAACTTGCTCTTTGTCATTCCTCTCTTGAGAAGGCTGTATTTTTTTTCAGATCCTATCTCTGCGGTCTAGGCTTTGAAAGCAACCAGGAGAATAGGAGTTCTCATACAAAGACTTGCAGGGAGGATAAGGATTCAGGCAAAAGTTGTTTTCCAATGGGTACCATCACATTGTGGTCTCTATTTAAATTATATGGCGAACCTTTCGGCAAAGAAAGGAAAGGATATTCTCCAAAAGTTTTATAGAGACCTTCCGCTCCATTCTGCTTAATTAGAAATAAAGAGAATAAGAGAATTTTCAAGCAACCATTTTGTCGTATAGCTTCCTACGCTGCTGGTGTTAAGCCCTGGAGTATGCTGTATGATAATCACAGTGTCCCAGACTCAGCCCGTATTGGCGCTATGGCCTACTTTAGACTTTTTGACAGGACACGATTGACTTGGTGCCTGTTAATTTCATTTTAAACTTACTGATTCACCTGAATGAGTTCTGTGTGACTCTGGACAAGACACGGCTGCTGCTCATCTGGGAGAGTGTTCTACACTTAATGATTTGGATTGTATTGTTAAGACGTATTGGAGAGCTCGCCGCCTAATAACCTGATGTT